TTCCTGATCACTTTTCTCTCCTCTAAGTGCTTCAAAATTGATTCCTTGAGGACCTGCTCCATGATTTTTCCAGGGACTGAGGTGCGGCTGACTGGCCTGTAGTTCCCTGGATCCTCCTCCTTCCCTTTTTTAAAGATGGGCACTACATTAGCCTTTTTCCAGTCATCCAGGACCTCCCCCAAGCGCCATGAGTTTTCAAAGATAACGGCCAATGGCTCTTCAATCACATTCGCCAACTCCTTTAGCACCCTCGGATGCAGTGCATCTAGCCCCATGGACTTGTGCTCGTCCAGCTTTTCTAAATAGTCCTGAACCACTTCTTTCTCCACAGAGGGCTGGTCACCTCCTCCCCATACTGTGCTGCCCAGTGCAGTAGTCTGGAGCTGACCTTGTTCATGAAGACAGAGGCAAAAAAAGCGTTGAGTACATTAGCTTTTTCCACATCCTCGGTCACTAGGTTGCCTCCCCCATTCAGTAAGGGGCCCACACTTTCCTTGACCTTCTTCTTGTTCCTAACATTCCTGTTTAATTATTATCAATGAAATAAAAAAACAGACTTACTTGAACTTTAACCTCCTGATGGCTCAGAAGGGGAACTAGGAAAGGTACAACGCCTGAATCAATGACCATCTGTATCTGTTCATTACCACCATCTGTTAGGTAGGACAAAGCCCAAACAGTGTCCACAAGAATCTGCAGGAAGCAGAAAAGAACAGACAGCTTATACTCTGAGCGTAAGACTGCATCTGAATTGTGTGATCAACACTCCACAAGTCTTTTTAAAAAAAAGAGCATGCAATTTAGCCATAGGGAGAGCTCAGGAATGCTACCAGGAGAAACAGTTAGCTAGAATGTTATGATGTCAACTACAATGGTTAAATAGATGGTCATTTGTTCCATCAACAGTTCAAATGCGTCACATGTTCTCTTCACAAACTTTGAGGTGGGGGTGTTAATTAAAAAAACCAAAACACTTTTTGGGTACAGTTGGGCCTGGTCAGTATTTCAATGGAAGACAATCAAGGAAATCCTAAATCCTAGGTGATGAAGTGGCCGTAGTGATTCTGCAGGTGGATCTCTCTTCCCTTGAGACAGTACTGAACCAATACCGGCACTTTACGAGGATTACTGCTGGAGTTACTATCTGTTGATTAAGACAGAAGTTGCCTTATGGTCATATTAAGAGAGACCATGTGTTGGTTTTAAGAGTTGAGCACTGAGTCGGAGAACTAGTCTAATTCCTATCTAAAATTCTAACTGCAATTTTAGTTAGAAGAGGTCTTATTCGCGTCCTGTTCTAAACTGTTGTGCAATGTTACTTGGTGCTTTTAAACAGCTACTGCAGTCTATTTGAGATTGCTACACTGCAGTAATAAGTGAATGCAGTAAACACACAGAGACTTTAATCCTAATCTTGAAGGATGCATGAATATATATGCATACATATTAATACACTGGGTTTATTCTGGATAAGAGATTATTTATATTATAGCTGGAGCTGGTAGTGATCCCTATTATTTAGGGTGGCTAATACTTTCCATTAAAGAGATTCTTGCAAACTTTTGTTTTTAGAAGCTCTCACCTCTCCAGTGCTTGCAGACGACCTTTGAAAATTGGCTGAGAAATCTTACAGAACTAGAAAGGTGTTTTTTCTTTGACCCATGAATTTCTGTTTAGGTTTGGTTAAGTTATAAACTGTGAAGTCACAATTTCCCATCTCTCACTTGTGTTCCATAGAAATGTTGACAACATGCTAAAACATTAACTGAAAACAAACATTCAAAAGAGCCAGGTCCATTATCAAAACAGTAGCAGCACCTCCACATCACACTGTGCAGGTGACTGCTGAACCACCAGGGGTGGGCAAACTACAACTCGCGGGCTGGATCCGGCTGGTCGGGACTTTGGATCTGGCCCGCGGGATTGCCACCCCCGTGGCGGTGCGGGCCCTGCGCCGTTCCTGGAAGCGCCCAGCACCACATCCCTGCGGCCTCTGGGGGAGGGGAGGGCTCCGCGCGCTGCCCTCGCCTGCAGGCACCGCCCCCCACAGCTCCCATTGGCCGGGAACGGGGAACCGCGGCCAATGGGAGCTTCGGGGGAGGTACCCACAGGCGAGGGAGGCGCGGGGCCCTCTGCCCCCCTCTCCCTCAGGGGTTGACCTTAGGAGGGGAAGCCTTGGACTGACCCCCTCCAATACACACATTAAAATACATTTCATAAACAGGACAATCAAGAGGCAGAATTAAGGGAGCACAGGCAAATGTAAATCTGGCATCTCACAAATTTCAACCTAAATAGCTAACTTTTGTTTATATAGTTACTATGTAAAGGGTAAAAAGGTTTCTAAATTTTAGAAATGGTGTTTGTGCTTCCCCCTTTACTCTCCTGATGACCGGAATCTATCATTATGAAAATACTGACAGTAGTGTGTTTACTTAATTATACTCAGGCTAATGTACAAAACAAGTTTACCATTTAAATACAATACACAAACATTTTTGTCTCTAGAGAAACAAAGAAAAAATATCCAAAAACTCAAAATTTTAAGGTATTTGTCTTGTTTTTACTTACGTTTATATCTGTATGGTATATAAGAACACACAATGCTGGCAAAATCTGAAAAAAATAAACTATCAATAATTATAGTGGCACCTGTCCATCACAAAGTAACATCAGCTGTGTAAAAGCAAGTTAAAGTAGAACATGTAGAACAGTATGGTTTGAGGATTTATTCATGTATTAATACACCTATGTTTCCTAACAGATGGCATTCACTCAAACGTCATAAAAAATTAAATATTTTGCAGGAATTTTGTACAAATGCAAAATAAAGTTGCAGCAATGCTATACTTTAAAGGAGTAGTGAGAGAGAAGAGAACAATTTCAGGGAATATAAGCAAATTTAGGAGCAAAGATAAATTTTAGTGATTTTCCCAGCTACTTATCAGGGGTGCTGAGAGCCACTGAACCAAAATGTAAACCCTGTATTTGATGGAAACCATTTCAAGCCAGGGGATGCGGCAGCACCCCTAGTTCCAGCACCTATACTACTTATGAAAGCTTGTGTTTAAAATTACCAGGTATAGTAAAAATGTAAGCACAACAAAACCTCCACTTGTTTGGGAAGTTACTAGGATCAAAATAAAATGTTTTTTTACATGCATTTGTGTAGAGCCAAAGCAAAGTCACTCTTACTACAATACATAAACCCATGTTTGGTAAATTCTCACTTTTAAACAAAAGTGTTCTGCTTATACAGTCTCTCAATTCTGAAGTTCCATCATACTTCATTTTGCACTAAAATGATACTTCAAACTGCTTCAAAAAGACTATAGACATCAGAATATATTTTTAAACAAAGTAGAGCTTTAAATAGGTTGGTAGTATAACCCACAGTAAAACAGCATCCCTCTTTTTACGATTGGCCGAAACGGTCTTCAAGTCTGCATTTTTTTTAATATCTGGGCAGTCAAGTATTTTCAGGTGCTTCAGTTTTAAAATGGGGACATATCACTGACACTATATATTTTGATAAGTACTCAAAACTTAAATATATATTAAAATGACACACCCACTTAATTATTTACTTACATTTCACATAATTAAAAGTAATTATTTGAATAGCTATTTGTATGTAGTAGTCTCTTGTTTGGTTAAAGTATGAAACACTGCAAATTAAACTAACTCTTCAAGTTAACACTTTCTACAGTCTTCACTTTTTGACAGTCTATTTCAACATATTTTCCAAAGACTAATTAGTCAGTATTCACCCTCTCAAATGGTATAATTAGCTTAGTTATAACCTCCAATTAGATTACATAAATAGACCACTTTGATACTTCTATTAACTGGTAATTAATACCAGGCAGTATCATAAAACATGCATTAATTAGTAGCACATACAGCAGCATAAAAAAAATTGTCCTGTAGCCCAGAGATAAGGTGTAAAAATCAGTCCTATTATAATTATTTACCTCCTGAACTGTCTCCATAGGCGGTGGGGGGTCCTTATTCCTGCAGAGATTTACAATGACCCATGTGACGTTCCGAAGGAAGGTGATGGGAATGGAGGGATTGATGAAGGACAGAAGAGGTTTGACAACTCCCAGTGATATGACATAATCTCTACACTGAGGACCATCACCTACAGAAATGAAAATTGTTTTAAAAAAAATTACATTAAAGATGGAAAACCTTGAAATGTATGCAATGACTTATGTTGGGATACTGATATTCTATGTTTCCTCACCAGAAGTTTAGTACCAAAAGCTGCTGTTCAATAAAAATATTTTAGGAGGCATAAAATTTATATTAAAATTTCTTATAGCAAATGAAGTCACTAACTCTCCAAACTTAATAATTAGTATATACATATGGATTCTTGCCATGTGGAAAATTATATGAAACCAGAGAATATAGAGGAAACATAGTCTCATATGGTAATGCCAATGTTCAAAAGTCAGAATCTAAAATTCCTATGTGTCCCCTGATTTAATTTCAAGTACTTTTAAAAAGACAGTTAGGACTTACCTATAATATTTCCAAGAGCCCAAACAGCTTGCTCACAAACATTCTGATGTGGTGAGTGAAGCAGTCTCAAAAAGAGGGGTACTGCATCTATAAAATGAAAAGATTCGACCTTGTTAGTGGAACATAGAAGAAACTGTACACAATATTTTAGTCTATTATTATTAAAATGTATATAATTCCATAACTTTGCCTGACATTAAGACCTTACAGTTTAAGTTAGAAATATACATAAACTCTCAAAAATGTTTCCTTTCAGAAAACAACCAAATATTAAACAATGGTCCCCGCACCTAAGCTCCCCTCCCCTTCCCTCCCAAAAGGTGGAAGTCAATACATTTAAACAAAATTTTAAGTTAAAGGTACAAAGTCCAGTGTCCTGGAAATTGAGATCTTCTATTTACCCACAAACCAGGTGCATAACCAGAGCAGAAACACAAGCTTCCCATGCTGCCTTGACAATGTGCTTCAACACCATGACCTGGAAAAACCACCTCTTTAAGAATTCATATTGGTACTATTCCCCCTGAGCCATCCATTTCCCCTCACATAACCCATTCCTTGAAAGCATGAGGAGTCTTAATGGTAAACTTTTCATTTGCACACTATCATACTTTATCATGTAGACCCGTCGGGCAAACTAAAACTGATTAATATGCTGGTGAATGAGTTAGCACTCACAAGAGAAAATACTACAAACATTAAAATATTAAGAGCTAAGAAAATTAAAGTGTGTTTTTAAATAGAAAATTTGCAATATAAAAAAATTCCAAGTGGACACAATTGTTTTATTTTTGATAATTTAACATGAGGTAGTAGTAAGCTGAAAAATTTGAACAGATTAATAAACAAAATCTATGGAAAAATTCCATGCAGTTAAGACAAACTGCAAAGGAATTTGTTCAAGTTGCCTCAAGATTAGTAACAGTGCTCAACAGATATGAGGGACATCCAACACACTGACACCTAAAAACTTCACTTCCCTCGGGTGCTGTGACATTCAATCCTACCTGGATCACAAGGTCCTACTTTAATGGAATATTCTTGCCTGTCTTTCTTTACAATCAATGGCTCAACCAAAGAACTCTGCTGGAACATGGAGCCAGCATGTCTGGATTGGGGAGGATCAAGTAAGTGTTATTTCTTTCGATAGCACAACTTTTGTGTTTTTAGAAGTGGGATGAAATGTTTCACATCTGCCCTCCAACACAAGGTGAATTTTTGCAAAAATCTGTTTAAGTAATTAGAGAACAAAATTAGAGGGTTCCCCCCCCCCCAAAAAGTGTAAAGTTTAACTATACTTTCTTTTCAACGGCCCTGGAGCAAAAATAGCTCAAGTTTGACACCCGGAATGGAAATAACTCTGAGGACTACAGACATTACTAGATTTGGAAAAAGACAATTGAAGAAATAGTAACTGAAACATCACTGAGCGCACACAGTTGGCATCTAAGTCTTGCACCTTTTGTAAAATCACTGCATATACTCTGTCTATCCTGACAGAAAACAGCCTGTTCGGATAATTTGCATGAGAACTGTCTTACTGAATAGTATCAAAATCCTTGAAAAAACTGCTTTAGCATTGAGACATGAGAAAAACTGCAGGTGTGATCCTGGGATTTTATGGTTTCTCTGCACTTTTGACAACACTGCAAATTCTAAACTTGCATTTCTCTTTTCCAAGCTGAAGAGTCCCTGTCTTTTTCATCTCTCCTCACATGGAAGCTGTTCCATACCCGTAATCATTTTTGTTGCCCATCTCTGTACCTGTTCCAATTCTAATATATATCTTTTTTGAGATGGAGAGACCAGAACTGCAAGCATTATTCAAGGTATGGGCATACCATGGATTTATATAGTGGCATTATATTTTCTGTCTTATCTATTCCTTTCCTAATGGTTCCTAACGTTAGCTTTTTTTACTACTGCTGTACATTGAACAGATGTTTCCAGAGAACTATCCCAATGACGCCAAGATCTCTTTCTTGAGTTGTAACAGCTAATTTAGACCCCATCATTTTATATGCATAGATGGGATTATGTTTTTCAATGTGCATTACTTTGCATTTATCAGCACTGAATTTATCTGCCATTTTGTTGCCCAGTCACCCAGTTTTGTGAGATCCATTTGTAGCTCTTCAAAGTCAGCTTTGCACTTTACTATCTTGACTATTTTTGTATCGTCTGCAAACTTTGCCACATCACTGTTTACCCCTTTTCCAAATCATTTTTGAATATGTTGAACAGGACTGGTCCCAGTACAGATCCCTGGAGGACACCACTATTTACCTCTCTCCATTGTGAAAACTGATCATTTATCCCAACTGATACTTGTTTCCTATCTGTTAACCAGTTACTGATTCCTCTTATCCCATGACTGCTTACTTTGCTTAAGAGAATTTCATGAGGGACCTTGTCAAAGGCTTTTTGAAAGTCCAAGTACACTATATCCACTGGCTCAACCTTGTTGCATGTTTGTTGACTCTATCAAAGAAGTCTAATAGACTGGTGAGGCATGATTTCCATTTACAAAAGCAGTGCTGACTCTTCCCCAAATTGTGTTAATCTAGATCTCTGATAATTCTGTTCTTTACTATAGTTTCAACCAATTTGCCTGGTTCTGGAGTTAGGCTTACCAGCCTGTAGTCGCCAGGATTGCCTCTGGAGCCTTTAAAAAAAATTGGTGTCACATCAGCTATTCTCCAGTCATCTGGTAACAGATGTTGATTTAAATCAGAGGTGGACAAACTACGGCCCGCGGGCCACATCCGGTCAGGGAGAAGGGGGTGGTTAGATGGGGCAGGGGTGCCGGGGGGGGGGGGGGGGGTGGGGAGGGAGGGGGGGGGATTGGATGGGGCGGCGGGGGGCAGTCAGTCAGGAGCAGGAGTTCCAGGGGCGGTCAGGGAGCAGTGGGGGTGGATGGAGCAGGGGTTCCGAGGGGGCAGTCAGGGGACAGAGCGGGGGGGAGGGGGGGTGGCGTCAGGGAGCGAGAAGCGGGGGGGTCGGATAGGGGGTGGGGGCCGGGCCACGCCTGGCTGTTTGGGGAGGCACAGCCTCCCCTAACCGGCCCTCCATACAATTTCTGAAACCCGATGCGGCCCTCAGGCCAAAAAGTTTGCCCACCCCTGATTTAAATGATAGGTTACATACCCAGTTAGTAGTTCTGCAATTTCATATTTGAGTTCCTTCAGAACTCTGGAGTGAATACCATCTGGTCCTGGTGGCTTATTACTGTTTAATTTATCTATTTGTTCCAAAACCTCCTTTACTGATACCTCAATCTGGGATAGTACCTCAGATTTATCATCCAAAAAGAATGACTCAGGTGTGGTAATCTCCCTCACATCCTCTACAATGAAGACCAATGCAAAGAATTCATTTAGCTTCTCTGCAACAACCTTGTCTTCCTTGAGCGATCCTTTAGCACCTTGATCATCCACTGTCCTCACTGATTGGCAGGCTTCCTGCTTCTGATGTACTTAAATGTTTTTGCTGTTAGTTTGTGTGTTTTTTGCTAGTTGCTCTTCAAATTCTTTTTTTGCCCGCCTAAATATACTTTTACACTTGACTTGCCAGAGTTTATGTTCCTTTCCTTTTTTCTCATTAGTTTAATATTAAAAACAGTTCAAAACTGATTGGGGGATTTATGCAATGTACCTTTTGACTATGAAAAGCAGTTCCTAGTGGAAGGACAAGGGAAAGTTAAAAACACCTTTTCTTTGATATTCTGAATATATTTGTTAACTTTAAAAAAAACAACAACAAAAAACAAAAAAAAACCAACAACTCCTTGGACTTAGTTCCTTTCTACATCCTGTCTGCCACAAGCCTGGCTGGCCTTTCAGCTGCAGCTTGTGGCTAAACCACCACCGTCTGTTGAAAATATCTAATTATGAGACTAATATAGCTACCACCCTCTTACTCTCGCCCCGCACCGAAATGCAAAGAAAGAAACGAACATGGCTGCTGAGACACAAGTGCAGCAGAAAGGGTAGCTGGGCTCATCGGAGATAGGCAGGGAGGGGTAGCTTACAGTTACCATTTTTACCCCTTCCTTCCCTCCTTTCCTCTGGAAGGTACAGGCCAAACTGCAGGAAAGTAATTCAAATCCTTCAATTCCCATCCCTCCTCAACCTCACCTTCAGTCACATCTAATCAGCTATTCCCTCCACATCTTTGCCCCCTAAATAAATAAATTCTAGCTCAATTAATCTCTCCACACCAATTTCCCCCACAAAATTTATTCTCCCACCAAGCCAGTTAATGCATCTCCTCTCAAAAATCAACTCTCCTCTTCTCCTAAACAAAATTAATGCTGTCTTCCAAATTACACTGCATGCATTATCTGCCTCTCTAAAAATCAATAAAATCATCCCTGTTTTCACCTCTTTAAAATAATCAGTCCCCATCTCTTTTTGTGAGGCCCCTAATGCTACTGCCCCTTTTCTGGTGTTCTCTTCTGATTGCCAACAGCCTTTAGCCTCCCAGCTCCTTCTGTACCTAAGCTAGAGCAAGATAAAAGCAGAGCCTCTTTCCTTCTACAACAGCAGCAAGGCCCCCTTTGTTCCCTCACTCCCCATCCCTCTTAAAAGAGCAGCAGCTCAGAGGCTGTTTTGCTTCTTATTCCCCCTTTCTTCCTGTGGAAACAGCAGAAGTTCCAGCCATTGCACTTTTCATTCTCATTTGCTCTCCTGAAACAAAATACAGCTATTGACACCTCAGTCACTTTCCCTTCCACTCCCATTAAAAGTGCAGTAGACACCTGGACTGATCCTACCCTTGCATTTTCCCTGCCAGGTATTAACTGAGCAGGACATCCAGCCAGATTTTGGGAGAGGACATGTTCCCCTCATGCCTCTCAGTGGTCAGTTATATGAAATCATTAATTAGGCTGTGTCATGTGTATGGATTTCCTATTCTTATTACTCTGTTTCAATACACAACTTCATATATCACTGCTTATGACATAACACAAAGATGTCATGATGAGCACAAGAATTCTAGATAAACTGAACAGTGTGCTCATGTTAAAGCTGCTATTAAAATCTTCAACGATTGCATTTCCTGACTAACTTCAACTGTGCAACCCTAACGCAGTTATCTGTATTTAACAGCATTTTTAAAACTGTAACATCTTTTTAAAGTAGGAAGAATTATTCATTAAGCCTTCTGGTTCTAGTCCTGTGGAGAGTAATAGCACTCAATTTCAGGAAATATCTTTTCAAGAGTGACGAAGAATTAACATTTTCTGTGATGCTCATAAGATGACTCTTCAAACTTCCATACTCAGGCCTCAATTTCCTAATGCTAATCATTGTTGGCAAATACCTCAAGGGTTACAAGCAAAAGCACGACTATTATTTCTAGCACCTTTCTGATAATTTCTTTTTCATGGTTTTAATATAAAAATTCCAAATGGAAGACACTTTTCACCTTTACCCAGCAACATCCACATATCCCAAAAATGAGCAACTTTTAGCACTTACTTGACTGTACCACAGCTTGGGTCTGTGCAGAAGTGCCCGATGCTATGTTAGTCAGTGCCCACGCAGCTTCAAATTGTAATGAGGGACTGTTTAAAAAAAAAAAATTTAAGTCAAGCAGTAATTTGAAATGTGCTCGTTAGGCTATTATATGGTTGCCCTCTACAGCTATTAGCTGTGTCTATATATAGAAATTGCAGAATTTAATACTGTATTGTGTAGTATAAAAAAAAAGACTAGACATTTCAGAAGAATTGAGAAGTTTAAGGGAATGGAAAAAAAAATTATACTTGCCAAAGCCTCATCTACTACTCATCACCACTGAAAACATGCCAATTGATTCTGTCCCTCCCACAACTGAGGCACCTCCCCATATTTGACAGATCCACACACTGCGGAGCCTGCCCCACACACAGCTGATACAAATACCCCTTCCCCTAAGCTTTGGGAGGGAGGAGAGACCAGCACTGGGGGATCTTTGTCCCCCTCTGAGGCCTGGGGGGAAGGTAACATCATTGGGGGATCTTCACTGGGTGGGGAGTGGAGGGGCAGGAGCTGCTACTCAACAGCCTGCTCTGACTTTGCATGCTCTAACCCCATGCATTCCAGTGAAGTGGAAGGGAGCACTAGTTGCTCCACATGCTATGGTACCAGTTGTTAATCACATGAAGCAGCTCTGATTGGCCTGTGGAGCTGACAGGGGTCGGACAAAAGAGTGACAAGCGTGCGGAAGTATGGGCCTGTACTTGCCATTTCCAAAACCTGCAAACATTTGTTTTACATATCTTTAAGATCTGCAACACTCCTCCCCACCACACATGCTATACTTATTGTATTGACCACCATATTTCTAGCCAGGGATTCCATCCACTGCCATGTCACTCCTTAATTAGTTGGAGAAGTCCATTATCTTTCCCCAAGGGATGAGTGTGCTGCCTCTGCAATGTTTGTAGCCCATGACAGGGCCCAGAGAGCAAATACCAGAAATATAACCAAACTTCTTCCAATTCCCCCTGCCCTTGTTGAAATCACTACAGAAATTCAGTCCTACGTTGTTGGTTTTTTGGAGGGGGGGTTTGGTTCAAAAACAGGCGTTTGTACACAGTTAAAGCAGATACTGACAATACAGGGGAGAAAATAACTGTCATGTAACATCTTAAATTATCATACAGACCATTTCAGGTTTTAACCTGGCAACTGAAGTCTTTTAGGGCTGGTCAGCTCAATGTGTTTGTCCTGTAGAGTGGGGTGAGGAAACAGAAGCAGGCTGTTCTCAGCAGAACACCCATTATGGAATGCCCATAATCTCTTTGTGCAACAGAGTGAATGTTTGAAAGCAAGATGCAAGGGTCCTTGGTTTTGCCACATTTTCAGTGGGGATTGTGGGGTTTGGTCTGGTTTTTTCTATAAGTGGTAGAGGAAACATTAGTTGCATTGGCTAACATGGTGTTGGTAATTTCACTGTAAAATATCGTAAGTATCTAGAACAGCGGTTCTCAAACTGGGGTCCGTAGACCCCTGAGGGTCCACGAGGGTACTCCAGGGGGTTTGTGAGTCCTGTCCGGCTCCAAGGGGTCCATGAGTCATGTCCAGGGCCACCGGCTCCACTGATCAACTCCTCACCCTCCCTCCCAGTGTCTTCTGCACACCACAGAGTAGCTGTTCAGCGGCGTGCAGGAGGCGCTGGGAGGGGGGTGGGAGGAGCGGGGATGGGGAGCGCTCGGGGAAGGGCGGAAAGAGTTGGGGAAGAGGTGAGAGGGCGGGGGTGAGGCCTTGGGAAAAGGGGTGGAGTGGGGGCAGGGCCTGAGCGGGGGTTGAGCACCCCTGTGGAAAATTAAAAGCCGGCTTGAGGGTCTATGAAAAATTTTAAATCAAAATGCGGGTCCTTAAATCAAAATGCGGGTTGCTAAAGTTTGAGAACCACTGATCTAGAAGGTATTAGATATATATTATATTTATTTTTGACATTTGCATATTTCTTATTTTCAAAAAGAAGAAATCTGAAAGGAAGAAAAAAACATAGCACAGTTTCAACTTTGACTTATTTTTAGAAATAACCATCTCTAGATAGACTACTTTGGATGGCCTAAGATAAACTGCACATTTATGCTCACTAAATTACAGAATAACTGGACCAAACAGATGGTCTGGTCATATAAAGCACAGTCCTGGCAACTATGTGGGTAAGAAGAGTCCAAAATATCAAGACTGAAGGAAAAAGAGGCTAACCCAAGAAGTGGTGAGATGGAAGACCGTTAGCATGTGGTGTGTTAGAGGATATGGCACTGAACAGAGCATTTCAGGGGGGGGCAGGGGGGACGGACTCCTACAACAGACCCTATTTGTTGAGATTAATGAAAGGACAAAGTTCAGAACAAATTTGTCACAGGAGCATTGTAATGCAAAAGCATCACAGAACTGGTCTGTCCCTCACTGATTGCCAGTAAAATGCCATCACACTTCCACCAACAAGAGCAGGGGAATATAGCCTGTTAAAGAAGCTCTGTGGATCAGTTAGGAATATGAGTGTATATAGAGTATTTATTTTCCCTGAGACCACACATGTTGCATCTGACATGTGCCTAGCCAAATACACAGTAGTAGTTTGGTAAAGAGTTGTGTGTAGACTGTGGTTAAAGGGAGTGATGGAGGGCTAGCATGTATACAAGGGGGCAGAATTAAGGTTGCAGTGCACGGTATGGTAGTTGTGATAATCGTAAGATGTGTGCCTGTGGTTGGAGGAGTACAGGGTATGTATTATTAGATGACTTAACTTTTCATTTCCTTGCTTTCACTGATTTGTTTCAGGTATGTTGCACAGGTAGCAACCCTAACTGCTTCTTGGAGCTTTTTGTGAAATAGCTTCCTAGATATGTTCATTCTTAATTCGAGGTGGTGTAGGAAAGGAATGGGTATTGTGGACATAAAAAGGTTAAAAGAGCATCTGCTAACAGACCATAGCTGTGCATAATCGCTTCTGTTGTACGAGAAAGTGACAGTAAATCATGGCTTCTAGTGGAGGTTTCACATGCACCCAACCTCCATCAATCAGGCTTCTGTGCACTCAGTTCCCCATTCTCCCCATCAGTCAGGTTTGTATGTACAGTGCATAAACTTTCAATTATAACATGAAGAGCAGCTAAAAATGACCCTAACTCCAACTTAAGTTTTTAACTACCTACTGCATCAGATCTATATCCCTACTCAAATTTTGTAGACAATATTTTAAAAGATATGGATCACAATAAAAGAACTGCCCAGGAAAAATTTCATCCAGATCCCAATTTCAAAGACTCCCTACTACAAATTTACAAAGAAGCCATAAAAAACGACACAGAAAATGGACAAAAATCAACTGTGTGAAATGTCACACGAGTTGGACATCTACTTTTGCAGAAAAATGGGTGCTTATAGCCCATTTTATAATGCAACCCTAATTATGAAATTGTTACCAGGCATTTCCATAATAGCTGGTTTGCTGAGCAAGTCACAAGCAGGGCCTTGTGTATTCTATGATTCTGCAGCTGCAGAACGGCACTCCAAAATCTGTTTGCATTTAAAAATGTTTCTAATTTATGGTTGCAGAAGTAACCTTGAAAACTCAAAGTGAGTGTAAACAAATGCAGTGATGCCTGCCTGAGAGTGAAGAGAGTCTGAAACGATAGCTGAGAGTTTATGAACTGCCCCAACTCCCCAATCAGAGCCATGGACTCCATGATTCTGTGATTGTGGAATTTGGCATTTTTCTAAGGTGTGCCAAGGAATTCACCATATCCCCCTGAACTCTGCCCTGCTGGGACTTGCCTGCAGCTGTCTTTTGTTCTCCAGCTTTCCCTTCAAAGAGAAGTTAGATAGCAGCACAATGCTCCCTGTACTGTTCAGTGGAGCCAGAGCTGAAGTCCACCTTGCAGAAAGAGCGAAGGGAGCCAGAAGTGTAGGCTAGTGAAACAGGCAGCCTGGGGAAGAGTGCAGCAACCAAGATCAATGATGCTGTGGAATTTGGTCCCACTGTGCCACAGTATACATGGCCATGGTCATAAGTTTGCATCTGAAATAGTGCTGCCTTTTAATCATAAAACTTAAGGAAAGGGGGAAAAGAAAAAAAATTTATACTTACTTATCATCCCTTTCTAGACAGTTGACCAGAATTGGTAAAATTCCAGATTTTATTAAGTCATCAATAGGTGGATTTCGGTCACTGGATAACAGTTTTCTGTAAAATTAAGTAAGAAAGATGAGTAAATAACATCATCAAGGAAAATTTCTGTAGCAACTGTGTGCACGTTGCTGGGGTTTTTTTTTACCTTGCAGCTTGGACAGCACTCAACTGGATCACAGGGTTATCACTTGTGGCATTCTGCAATACAAAAATAAACAAATTCAGAAATCCATCAAATGAGCCTTAAATTCTGAATTCAAGAAACTGAAGATATTATGTTTAACTTACCTGCAATATAGCTTCTAGTGTTACATTTTGCTTGAAAAGAAAGAGAGATCATTTAGCAACAAATTACTAAAATTACATTTAATGTTGAAACATTCTAGACTAAACATTTGAGCAATGGTGAGCAGTGCCACTCCACTACTTCATTGGAGTTGTAACTGCTCGGATTTGCCTTTTCTGTCCATCTACAGGCAATTTAAAAATGAAGATAAGACTCAAACTCAAGTGAATAACAGAACAAAAGTCTTCTAGCCACTACCAAAGAAACTAAGTTTTAGAAGCAGATTCAGAATCAAGCAACTTACTGCTTTGAAGTCAGCATCAACATCCGAGTCTTCTAAACTTTCTTCTTGAGGGACATTTCTTTTTTTCAAAAGATGTTCATCTCTTTTGTTCTAAAGATATTAAAGACACTTTAATGCTTATCAATACTGACTAGTCAAACAGAGGCACTTAAAAATAATTTACATAAGATTGTTTACATAAAGAGATTTGGAACTCCAGACTGATTTTACAGTAGGGCAGCGGTAAGTCACTCATTTTGTCTTACGCTAAAATAGATTTGAATCTATATATAAGCATGTATCTTGTGAACCATGACAAAATACTACAGTCCGTTGCATAAAATAGATAGTTAACACCTTTCAGTTAAAAAGTGTCAATATTTTACATGGAGTTTATAGCACACATAGCTCTGCCTCAACAGTCACTTAAATTAGAAATGAATAATGATGATGTCCTAGTCAAATAAGACTAAAATTAGTTTGTAAATAAGACTATTACAAGCTGCTCAGATATCCTGATTACATCTATTTTAATCCTAGGTGTAAACAAACATGCTCCAACACACTGGCACTGATAGACCCTGGTCACTGTAGCATTAACAACAGTTTCTACTTATAACACAGTACCCTGCAACTTAGTGCTTTGTTTAGTAACTACTCAGATGAGCTTCTCTGACTAAGCTGCATTTTCAATGTTAAAGCATCCACAAAATGTTCACAGTCTGCTTAATCAGCTTACTTACTACATTTTATATTCTAAGTTTTCTACCTTTATAAGAGGAAAAAACTCAAATAAAGGTTTCGACTATGCCAAACGAACATGTTTTATTTGTAGTTTTGAGATTTTTATTCCAAGTTTATTCACCAGAAAAAAATTCTCTTCCACAGAAAAAACTCTCTCTTCCACATTTTAGACATGGTCTATCTTTTGTTCTGTGCATAGTTTCCTGCAACTGTACTATATTTCCATCTTCGTTTTGGGTTAAATATTTAAAAAGCGAACTACACTGTCTTAATTCCAAAAACTCTGATTCTCCATTATGCAAGCAATTGAAGAAAGACACTTTCTCCCCTCCAAACTATCATCTGCTATGGTGTCACACTATATCTCAAAAGAGCACCCTGTAACCCCCATATTCATCATTCATATAGGATTGTGATATTTCATACAAAGCATGCCTTATAAGATATCATACGAAAGGTCATGATGTGCTGAAACCCACTGTTCTGTTAAAATATGCATATCATTAGTGTGTAAGAAATTATGAGATTCTGCTGTATGGTTGTTATTGAAATATGTTGTGACTTTGGGAGTCACCCACTGCTAGTTCTCCAGTGACAACAAAGGAGGTGACCCACACCCAGGTGGGCGTTAAATGACCATTAATCAGCAAGGGAGTTGTAAACAAGAGATATACAATTCTGTAAGAGAGTTGCACAAGCATCACACAATGGGGATTGCTCAACTCTATGAGGCCCCGTCTACACTGGCAAGTTACCGTGCAGTAAAGCAGCTTTCTGTGGCGTAACTCCCAAGGTGTACACACTACCACGCCGCTTAGGGCATGGCTACATTTGCAGATGTAGAGCACTTTGAGTTAAACCAGCCTTCGTAGAGCGCAGTAAGGAAAGCGCTGCAATCTGTCCACACTGACAGCGCACTGGCGTGGCCACATTAGCAGCTCTTGCAACGTCCACAGAGAGCAGTGCATTGTGGTAGCTATCCCAGCATGCAAGTGGCTGCAATGTGCTTTTCAAATGGGGGGGGGGGGAGTGTATTGTGTGTATGTGGGGGGAGAAAGAGTGGGTTTTGGGGGGTCTGACAGCGTCTCAGCATGCTGTCTTGTAAGTTCAGAAAGCAGCAGACCTTCCCCTCTCCCCCCGCCGCTCTCTCTCTCACACACAGCATTCCACAGTAATGGTTGCTTTGTCTCAGAGCAGATAAGCATGCCGGCTGTCAAACAGAGCTTTCGAAGGGCATATCCAATTACAAGAGTGGCCACTTGACTTAAGGGGATTATGGGACGTTTCCAGAGGCCGATCGGAGCGCAGTAATGCAACACCTCGTTCACACTGACACTGGGGCGCTCCAGCGGGGGCGCATCAAACATTATTCTACTCGCCGAGGTGGAGTACCAGGAGCGCTCTAGCCGTGGAGTCAGAGCGCTCTACGTGCCTTGCCAGTGTGGACGGGTAGTGAGGTAGTGCGCCCGGGGCTCCTTTAATGCGCTGTAACTCACAAGTGTAGCCAAGCCCTTAGTGTGCAGAAACTCCTCAGTTGCAGTGTTGCCAAAAAACCACCTTGACGAGAGTGGTAAGCCTTAAAGTGCAGAGGCTCCAGCACTATATTGGCAATGTAAACACATTACAGCGCAGAGAGCAATCAACTGGCCTCCAGAAGTGTCCATAATCCCTCAAGTGGCCACTGTGCTCTTGTTTTGAACTGGGCTGCCCCAGAGACATGCTCCCCTCCCCTTTCAAAGCTCAGTTTCTGACAGCCATTGCATGCTGTGCTGATCTGCTCTCGGACACAAAGCAAACCATTAATGTGGCATGCTCCTACTGTTGAACACAGAGAGAGAGAGAGAGAGAGATTGCTGTACAGAGAGCTGGGGACGGAGGCTGTGGTTTCCCCCTCCTGCCTCAGGACTGGTTGCTTCCTGCTGCTGTTTGAACTTACAAGACAGCATGCACACACTCTCTGTCCCCCAAAACACAGTCTCCCCCCCGCATACACACACACACACACTCTATTACACACTCTGCCCCCCCCCCCTTCAGTTGAAAAGCAGCTGGCAATGTAGTAGGATGCCCATGGAACAATGGGATTGGGAAACCTGCATCATGTGACACTGTGCCTGCCCCATGAGGCATTGCAAACCCTTCCCAAAGCACCCTGCGGCCAGTTGCACAGCGGGCTAGCTACCACAATGCACTGCTCTCTTTGCCCTTGCAAGAGCTTCTAATGTGGATGCACTCCACTATCACAAGGAGCACAGTGTGGACACGCAACAGCGGTTTAATTCCAGAGTTTTAATAAAAGTAGTATAACTTGTTGTGCAGAAACTTGCCAGTACAGACATATCCTGATTTAGCAAGGCCCACCAGGACATGCCTGGGCTAGTATTTTCCAGGCATATGGACTGAGGGTATAAAATAAGAGACAATTGCATCATGCAATTACCTTTCTCCTCCCCCATTTACACTGAAGGCAGCAAGAATGCTGGGAAGACAGAGACTAGAACTGAGGAGACTGGTCTCAGGCTTAAAGGGAAAGCCTGCGTATTAAGGGCTGTAACCTACCTGCAACATCCAGTGGGGTGAGAAAAACTTCTTGATGCAAATACTGCTTAGTTTTAGGATTTAGACTGCATGTTTACTTTTTATTTTCTTTGGTAACTAACTCTGACCTTTCATGCTTACCACTTAAAATCTATCTTTCTGTAGTCAAACTTATTTTAATGTTTTATCCTTACCAGTGAGTTTATCGAAAGTGCGTGGGAAATCTATTCTGTTTACAAAGGCTGATTCATGTCCATTTTCCTTTGACAAAGTGGTGAACTAATTAATAAGTTTGCACTGTTCAAAAGAAGGGCTTGAGCAGTGCACGATGGTGTATTTCTGGTGCAAGGCTGGGGGCTTGGGAGACTTACTAGTGTTTCCCGGCGTATAGTTCATGAGTGGCTTGGAGAGTGTTCATGCAATGTACCTGGGTGAGCTACTGCATGCTGGTGGCTGAGTGATAACTGCGCCCCGAGGTGTTTGCTGCTTGTCACTAGAGCAAAGCATTGTGAGAGCCAGCCTAGACTAGGAGATTAAGAGGGAACAGAAGTCCCACAGTTTGAGGTTGTACCCTATGGATCCCGTCACAGTTATACACACCTTACTGGATATGGTGACTATGCCCTTATTGCCTATTTATGATGCATAAAGACAGTTCAGGCTTGATTTTATTTAGATGTTTTCTGTCTTTGATTTTTACGTTAGAAAAATCATGCCATTATTTCCCTTTCTTTGGTTGAAGGATTCTTTAGACAACTCAAGTTGAACATCATCATAAGTTGTACATGAACAGAACAGCTTTCCCACTCCTCAACTGGGATGGGGGAATAACAGTATGTTAAGGCTTTTCCAACCAGGGAATGAAACAAGCCCCAGGAATGAAAAAACCCACCTTTATCCATCACAGAGGTTTAGTAAAAGGCATCTATTTTCCTTTGCAGTTCATGTGACGCTACTACTAGAAGGCCCATATTCTACTTCAAGAACCAGGCTAGTTGTGCTTTGGAAAGCATAACCTGTATACATGCCAAACACAAATCAGGAGGCCCAGGACAGTTTTCACAAACATACTAACAGTTTAATTTCTCTCCAGGCTATAATTCAGGGTTAAAACCCCCAATTTAGCAGTCAGGTTTTATCTGCATTACAAGAACCATCCACCTAGCAAAACTGTCTGCCACAGCAAAGGGCCCTATAATGAGAGACAATCAAAAGCATGGTGGTTCTTATAGTGCAGACAGGCCCTGAGTGTTTTAAATTTCTTTGTGAGGTTTAATTGTGAAAATGTTAAAAATGGGCATTGTGCACACAAGCCATTTTAGGCACAAACTAAAGGACGGAGTCAACGTACAGGCTTGTGTCAAACGTTTCTACACTAGGCAAGCAACAGATGACTATGGTGCTGTTCTTCGGCTGAGTTAGTTTTTGACAAAGTATTGCTTATATCCTTTTTAGCAGATACTAATACTACGCTGACTTGGTTTCAGCCTTGGCAATTCTTCAGTTGTGTAAATGTAACTGTCTTTCCTACTGCTTGCGTGAATCATGAGCAGCATGAAAGACCTGATTTGGGAAGACTGTTTCCCCTGCCCAGTGGCAAGGACAGATCATTTAGGGGGGGTGATAGGCTTCTCAGGTGTCCTTTCTCCCTATCCTAAAGAGCTTGCATAAGAATAAGCTCTATGGGGTGGGACAGTTCTAGAATTCTCTCCATAGTCCTATGTTGCTCCTTCAACCTGCTTCAGACAGGCACTAGAGTGGCTAGGAGTTGAAGCCACACTGTTCTCAGTTTCTGTCTTCATGGGGACCAAAGGATCAAGCTTGCTGTT